AATCCATTGGTTCAACTTACTCATGGAAACAGAGGACGACCTGTCCTGAAAGAAATTGAAGAAACCGTTGATCGCGCGTTACGGCGGTCGCCGATTAGAAAATCCATTTGAGGAGCTATCCACCTTGCGTCAAACCGGCAGCGTGGAAGAATATGTGGAGGCGTTTGAGTTGCTTTCATCATAGGTGGGGAGATTGCCGAAGGAACAATATTTAGGGTACTTCATGAGTGGATTGAAACCTCCAATTAGAAGGCGTGTTCGCACTCTGAATCCTGTGCCATAGATGCAGCTAATGCGAATTGCTAAAGATGTGGAGAATGAATTGAACGAGGAAGACGAAGACGGAGAAAGAAGTTACAGGAAGAAGCAAGGAATGGACTGTTTGGGTCGTAGTGAGTGGGCTGGACCTACAAGCAAAAATAGGAGTGGGTATAATCCATCTAACAAGGATTCAACCCGGGTGTCTCATTCGGGTGGATCCAACCCGAATCAAAATACAGGTTCTATTGGGTCAAATCAAAGTTACAATTCCTCGATGCTTTCCACGGGACGAAAAGGCGATTTCAACCACCGTTAGAGTTCGTCGGAGCAATGGAAGAGTGTGAAGAGTCTCCACAATGAAGAGATGGCTGAACGAAGAGCAAAGGGACTCTGTTTTAAGTGTGGAGGTAAATACCACCCTACCATTCACAAGTGCCCTGAGAAGAGTTTAAGAGTGTTGATTCTGGGGAAGGGGAAAGTGTGAACGACGATGGGGAGATTATATCCATTGAGGTTAGTGAAATTGAGGAGGACGAGGCAGAAGTTGAATGTAAAGTGATTGGAGTTTTAGGGAGCATGGGGGAGTATCGCACTATGAAGATTGGAGGTAAGTTAGAAAGTATTGATGTGGTGGTGTTGGTGGATAGTGGAGCTAGCCACAATTTTATATCCTCCCAAATTACTGCTGTCTTGGGTTTACCCATTACACCCATGGTAGTTAAATGGATTAAATTGGGAGGTGGTCACAATGTGGTTTCACTGGGAGTGTGTGGAGTTAAATTGAACTTGGGTCCTATGGAAGTGGTGGTGGATGCCTTAGTGTTAGACTTAGGAGGAATGGATGTGATTTTGGGAGTGTCTTGGTTATGTACTTTGGGTAAAGTGATAATGGATTGGAAGGCCTTGTCCATGCAAATTTGGCATGAAGGAAAATCTGTTGTATTGCAAGGTCAAGGTGCTAACAGAGAAAGACAATGTTTCTTGAATTCGTTTCTTGAAGATAGACAGAATGAGGTGGATGACGCATGGTGTGAGACCTTACAAATACCCTCATCATCAAAAGGAGGAGATAGAAAGACAAGTCAAAGAACTTTTGGAGGCTGGAGTTATAAGGCCTAGCATGAGTGCTTTTTCTAGCCCAGTGATCTCAGTAAAAAAGAAGGATGACAGTTGGAGGATGTGTGTGGATTATAGAGCACTCAACAAGGCAACTGTCCCGATAAGCATCCTATCCCTATAGTAGATGAATTGTTAGATGAGTTGTTTGGAGCTACAATTTTTTCTAAGATCGACTTAAAATCAGGATACCATCAAATTAGGGTGAAAGAAGACATCCATAAAACTGCTTTTAGAATCCACAATGGACACTATGAGTATCTTGTTATGCCTTTTGGCTTGATGAATGCACCTGCCACATTTCAGTCCACTATGAATGACATTTTCAGGCCTTTCTTGAGAAAATTTGTGTTGGTGTTTTTTGGTGACATATAAGTTTATAGCAAAGATATGCTTACTCATAAAGGGCATTTAGAACAAGTACTAGAGGTGTTAGTCTCTAACTTTTTTGCTGCAAATCAAGCTAAATGTAAGTTTGGTTGTACTCAAATTGATTATTTGGGGCACATTATTTCTGGACAGGGGTGGTTGTAAACCCAGAGAAAGTGCAATGTATTAATTACTGGCCAGTTCCAAAGAATGTCAAAGGAGTACGTGGTTTTCTTGGACTGACCGGTTATTATAGGAAGTTTATCTGCAATTATGGGAAGCTGGCTAAAGAGTTTCCTCTCCTGACCAACAATGTTGGCTTTCTAAATTATTGGGATACCAGTTTGAGGTCAAGTATAAACCTGGCCTAGAGAACAAAGCTGTTGATGCTTTGTCTAGACGTCATGATGAGATGGAGTTGAATGTGTTAGTATCTTCTCCTAAATGGCTAGAAGGGAAGCAGCTATTACAGGAAGTGTCACAAGATGCAAAAATTCAACAAATCATTCAAGAAGTGACTACAAAACCTGATGCCAGACCAGGGTACAATGTGCAACAGGGAATTCTATTTTACCAAGGCAGGTTGGTAATCTCAGCGAATTCACCCTCTATCCCCTTGTTGTTGAAAGAATTTCATAGCACACTCATGGGAGGCCATTCTGGATTCCTAAGAACATACAGGCGGATTGCAACTGACATTTACTAGGTTGGCATGCAGAAAAGTGTCAGAATTTGTTAGAGCATGCGATGTCTGCCAAAGACAAAAATATGCAGCCACAACACCTGGAGGTTTGCTACAGCCGTTGCCTATTCCCAATGCCATATGGGAAGACTTATCTCTTGATTTTATTACTGGGTTACCTAAGTCTAAGGGGTTTGAAGCAGTATTGGTAGTTGTAGACGGATTGTCTAAGTATAGCCATTTCATTTTGCTCAGACATCCTTATAGTGCGAAATCTATTGCTGAACTGTTTGTTAAAGAAATAATCAGGTTGCATGGTATTCCCTCTTCCATCATCAGTGATAGGGATCCAATTTTTATGAGTCATTTTTGGAGTGAACTATTTAAGCTACAGGGTACAAATTTCAAGATGAGTTCTGCCTATCACCCTGAAACTGATGGACAGACAGAGGTCATTAATAGGTGTTTGGAAAGTTACTTTAGATGTTTTGCTTCAGGACAACCTAAGACATGGTCGCATTGGATCCCATGGGCTGAATTTTGGTATAACACCACTTTCCATGTTTTTATTGGGAAGTTCCCTTTTGAAGTAGTTTATGGCAGACAACCTCCTAACTTGCTGAGATTTCTAAGTAATGAAACTAAAGTGGCCATTGTGGCTCTTGAACTCAGTGAAAGAGATGAAGCCTTGAAACAATTGAAGGCGCATTTGCTTAGAGCTCAACAACAAATGAAGAAGTATGCTGACAGCAAAAGAAGGGATTTGAAGTTTGAGGTGGGTGAATGGGTCTTTTTGAAGTTAAGGCCTCATAGGCAGCAATCTGTGGTCAAACGTATCAATCAAAATTTAGCTGCTCGTTTTTATGGACCCTTTAAGGTTCTTCAGAAGATTGGAGAGGTGGCTTACAAGTTGGAGTTACCAACTCAGTCCAAGATTCACCCTGTATTTCATGTGTCTTTGCTTAAAAAGGCAGTTGGAAATTATCAGGTTCAAGGAGAACTTCCTAAAGAACTGGAGGTTGTTGGTACTGATGACATCTATACTGACAAGGTGTTGGGTACAAGGGTGACAGTACAGGCAGGTGTGACTGTTCCTCAGAGTCTTATTCAGTGGAAGAATAAGTCTTTGGATGATGTTAATTGGAAGATGATGCTTATCTGAGGGGACAACTTCCTGAATTTAGCCTTGAGGACAAGGCTGGTTTTAAGGAGGGAGGTGTTGATAGAGATATGGATCACGAGGTGGGCCTTAACTATGGACCTAAGCCAAAAATGTGGAGGATTTATACTATAAGTGGTAAAGGAATAAAAGAATAGAATGAATAATTATAGGAGTTTGTTATTGTTATTATAGAAATTTGTTATTATAGGAGTTTGTTATCATAATTAGAGGAGTTTGTTATTATAATTAGAGGGGTTTGTTTCGATAAAATAGGAATAAGCTTATGGTTATAAAAGAGGACAGGAAGGGTAGGAATAAGGTATCTAGGATTATACTAGGGTTCACGGTGAGCTAAGCACTGTGTGCTTAGGGGCTGATAGGTATTCACCATCAGTTGTTATTTTCATCAGTATTATTTTGTATCTCTGTTCATCCACGATAGTACAATTGAGTTATTCTTTTTTACTGTTTCATTCATTTATTCTCTATTTTTCCATATATTCATATAAGAACCCATCAATTGGTCCGACCTACCGGATCAAAAACCATACCACAATTGGTTCAACCAATCCATAAGCACCGCTCCCTTGAAAAATTGGTATTTCCAATTTCTATAGCATTCTTTCTTATTTATTCTTGTTACAAACACAGGAAAATATAACTGCTATTTATTTGAAAAACATAACTGCTTTAAAATCCCCACAAGTCCCCACCGTTACAAAACTGATCATTTCAATGTAACTTTTGGCCCTTTTCTGCCCTTTTTCTCCTATAGTGTCTTTTAATAAGGGGTCTAACTTACAGCTCAATGAGTTTCGATCACTAAAAGGAAGGTGATATGCATATAAATTAAGAAATATATTATATCCTGATGCAACAGACTCCAACTTGCTTCTCAGGTTTAAATCAGAACTGGCTATAACATGCGCAGTCAATCAGAAACATATTCTAAGGTTGACTCTGTTCTGTTCATGAACGCCGGGTTCCATTTAAAGGGAGTATATCAAAAGTAAGGAGCAATAATTTATTGATGATACACTAACCTTGTTTTGCAACGCTGACATGAATAGAAAAAAAGCAGTTCAAATACTAACATGTGAAAATTCTCTTATGAGATGGTTTTGTTGAGTTCACTTCTCCCATTTTTCCTTAAGTTCAAGCACTTGGTTTGTCTTCTACTCTTATAAATTATCTCATTGGTAACATTCCTGCAAAGATAGGTAAGTTTGAAAAAGTTGCAAAATATGAGAATGAGGATGGGCTGATCTGTAGACTGTAATATATATTAAACTGAACAAACATCACACCTAAAAAGTGATGTCTATCTTAAAAGACATTGTAAAAGAGAAGAATCCTATGGAAAAATTAAGAAACAAATTTTACTAACTGTTAATGTTCTCCCTTCCACAGTTATTATGATACCTTCCTGAAAAATTACAAGGACGTTGCAGAAGCACGCAATTGGAAGCAGCCCTTGCTTGGTGCGCATTTCTTCCTTCTAGTCAATATACTTTTGGTTGAACTAAACCAACAAAATGCATCATAATAACACATTAACGATTTGCAGTTGCACTTTCATATTCACAACAAATACTAGATGATGGAGTAATACCAGTTACTTCAACTGATATTCCAGTTGACGCCCTTGTATCTCCAGAAGGTGTAATTCCCATCAGTTCCACTGCCTTCAACATGTATCATTGAAGATACTCTCAATCACTTCACCAGGACATTATTTAGCAGCACCTCTCATTTTTTCATCTTATTAAGTTCAGTCAATTATTTGTTTTTATCATCTTACCACATTGAAGGGTTGTTGAAACGTGAGTAAACGTGGGGGGTTTAGTGTGTGTTTGGTTCTGCAGTGAAGAGAATTGGTTTAAGGTACAAGTTAAAGAGTTAAATATATAAATTTTTTCTTAGATACTCTGTATTGATTGTATTAAAAGTTGATAATATCTTTTTTTCATTTATTTTTTAAACACAATTTCTATTTGAAGGTTTATTAATATGTTCTCTTAAGTCACAAGTTAACAGTATCTATTAATAATAGGATATACAAGTTTTTCATTAAAAGTGAATTATGAATGATTATGTAGGATGTTATACACTCCCAAACATATTTGGATGATGAAAATTTTACCCCATATCCCTATAATTATATCCATACCCCTAGACTAAAATTTTTTGGACCAAAATACCCTCGTATAAATAGTTATAATTTTAGAAATTTTATTTTCTCATTTCATTTGCATTTGAAGACTTTTAAAACTACCATTTTTCATCTACAAACCAGAACACTTAGCATAAGTCTTTCGGTACACAAAGTATAAACCGAAACACATTTTAGAAGTCTTCCGGTTCAGAAAACATATACCAGAACTCTTAGAGTAAGTCATCCGGTGTTGTAAGCTTTCCGGAAGTCATTGATGAAGACTTCTGGTTTTTGTTTTTTTTCTCGTTTGTTTAAAGTCTTCCGGTATTATGAGTTTTTCAAATTCACCGGAAGTCTTTTTGCAAGTCGTCCGGTTCATATTTTTTTTTCCGTACGAACATCATATTGCTAGACATATATGGTTCGGTGAGGTAAGTAAACGAAAATTATTTAATATTGAATAAAATTCGAATTTTTAATGTTGAATTTTATAATATATTTACTTTTATTTGTTTTCAGGAGAGAGGTTCGAAGAAAGAGTTAAAGGTAGTAGCAAGACATGGGTTGAAGATGAACCAGAGGGTTCCACTACAGCTACCAAGAGAGATGGAGGGTTGGATATCTAAGTCTGGTCTAGCTTCACTCCAGAGAACCAATTTGACAAAGATAGACACGAATCTGGTTTCCGCATTTGCAGAGAGATGACATCTAGAGACATCTTCATTTCACATGCCGTTTGGTGAGATGACGATTACTCTAGATGACGTCTCTTGCCTGCTTCACTTGCCCATCAGGGGTGGAGTTCTCAAGATATCAATGAAGGATTTGCTATTGAGTGGACTGTTGAATACTTAGAGTGTCACAGAGAGTGACATAGCAACAAGTTCGTGATTGCAGGGGTTCTTATTATAAGTTGCAGTGGTTATATGATCGATTTGTAGAGCATATAGCTGCTTCTAGATGGGATTATGCGACTAGAGCTTATCTGTTGATATTAGTGGGTTCCATTATTTTTGCGGACAAGACGTTTACGCTTGTCGATGCACGATACCTATCATTATTTATAGACTTGGAAGGGTTATCAAGATATGGTTGGGGAGCAGTTGCGTTGGTTACCCTTTATAGATATCTCGGAGATGCTTCCATGTTCAGTTGTAAGCAGCTCGGTAATTATTCGACTCTCCTACATGTATTTATTTTAATTTAGTATATTTTGTTTTAATTAATTTTATTTAGTATATTAATTTTATTTATCTAGTTTATTATGTTATAATTAATTATTTTAAATTTAGTAATAGTATTAATTTTGTAACAGTGTTGGATTCATGAGTATTTTCTAACACTTGGAAAAAAAAGAGAGAATTGGATACCAGCTAATAATGTGGGTCTCCCTCGAGCGATGAGATGGTCCTATAGGCAAGGTGTCCTGAAGGTGGATGACCTGCGACCTATTCTGGACGAGCTGACACTTGCCGATGTCATATGGCGCCCATTCGAGAATCATAGAGTATGACGTCAGTTTGATGAGTTATGTCTATATAGGGGATGTCTGAGGTGGGGTGACACTATTGTTCCATACTTGCCTGACAGATGTATGCGTTAGTTTGGATATAGGCAGTATGTTTCACATCCACCGCTTGATTATACGATGACTAGTGATATTGATGTTGAGTGGATTAGTTATTATTAGAGCGTTCAGGATGTGATTCGTCCGACATCACTGACCACCACCCCATATGAGACAGATGATGGATATCTTCAGTGGTATTATCGTGTTTCACATCCTCGTCTGGTACTGTCCCATCATGATGCGCCAAGAAAGGTGCTAGTTCCTATTTATGAAGTAGGACCATCTGATCCTAGCTGAGCTCGTGTGTCTTCATTGGTTCATCGTTATCTTCAACAGGTTGGTGCTGAAGAGGATGATCCACAATTTGCCTATATTTGTTTGTCTTGTAAGTGCTGTCCATAACTAACACAATAGGAAAAATATTCAACAACATAATTGAATCTGAATGAGCCCAAAATATATCTCTAATAACTTCAGAGTCATCTCTTTTTCTACTCCAATAAACATGACATGCATCCTTAATAAGCTTAAACAAATGTTGTATCTCACTTCTAGGACCTCTTATATTTTTTTCTATCATACTCTTCTGCTTGTATATTTGCGTGATCCGAGTGACATTATCTGGATTTTGCTCTTGCAATGAAAGCAATATATGTCTAGGTGGAACCTTTTTCTTTGTCAAATCAACATGTTGCTTCAGATCCGCTGTCAACCTACCAACAAATGCGCGACTTTCTAATCTATTAGGTAAACCATGGTTATGAACTCCATATTTTACATCAATCTTCCATCCAAATCCATTAGTCGCTGGAATTGACCTGATTCTAAATGGACATCCACATTTTTTCGTTGCACTCTGGGTTCCACTATCAATATCTTTGTGTTTTCCACTTTTATCACATCCAAATATTAATTTGTTACTTCTTCCTCTCTTGCCTGTTTCAATATCTGAACGAGTGATGATAACCGTTACTTTATTTCAGATTTCGATCTCTTTAATCCATCTTATCACCTCTTCTTGTGTACCAAATCTTTGAGTAGTTGAAAAAACATCAGGCGTATCTACATATATCTGATCTTTATCGCATATTTGTGAAAGAATTTTTATACCTGCATAATTTTTTTTTTTACAAAAGCAAACCGGAAGACTCGGGAAAAGAGTTTCGGTAGACAAAGATAATAAACCGGAAGACTTGTAAAAAATGTTCCAGTACACTTTTCCTTCATACCGGAACTTTTAAGACAAGTGTTCCGGTAAATAATACTACCAAACCGGAAGACATGACATATAGTCTTCCGGAAGATTTATACGTAAAACTCAAACCAGAAGTCTTTGTTTAACTCTTCCGGTACATATTTTGTATAAATCGAAACTCTTAGCCAAAGTCTTCCAGTATAGAAAAAACAACATACCAGTAGTCATTTTAAAAGTGTTCCAAACGACTTGACGGGTGAATATTTTGGAACTCTGAAAATCTGACAGGACAGTAAAAAGTTAAAAAATAAAATAATAAAAAATAGACAGGGATAAAATTGGTATTTTTTTAAAAATGTAGGGGTATGGGGTAAAATTTTCTTGGATGATGCTTAATGTGTTAAAATGTGGTGTTAATGTCAGCAAATTTTAGCTCAAGCATTGCTAGGTTAGATATCATTACTAAGATTTGAAGAAAATTTTACCCCATACCCCTACAATTATATTCATATCCCTACATTTTAAAAAAAAATATCAAGTTTATCCCTGTCTATTTTTTATTATTTTAGTTTTTTACTTTTTACTGTCCTGTCAGATTTTTAGAGTTCTGAAAAATTCACCCATCAAGTCGTTCGGAACACTTTTAAAATGACTTTCAGTATGTTGTTTTTTCCAAACCAGAAGACTTTGGCTAATAGTCCTGGTTTATACAAAATATGTACCCGAAGAGTTAAACAAAGACTTCCGGTTTGAGTTTTACGTAGAGATCTTCCAGAAGACTATATGTCATGTCTTAGGGTTTGATAATATTATTTACCGGAACACTTGTCTTAAGAGTTCCGGTATGAAGGAAAAGTGTACCGGAACACATTTTTACAAGTCTTCCAGTTTATTATCTTTGTCTACCGGAACTTTTTTCCAGAGTCTTCCGGTTTGCTTTTGTAATTTTTTTTTAAATATTTTTTTTTATGTAGGTATAGAAATTCCTTCACAAATATGCGATAAAGATCAGATATGTGTAGATACGTCTGATGTTTTTTCAACTACTCAAAAATTTGGTACACGAGAAGAGGTGATAAGATGGATTAAAGAGATCGGAATTCGCAAATATACAAGCAAAAGAGTATGCTAGAAAAAAAATATAAGAAGTCCTGGAAGTGAGATACAACATTTGTTTAAGCTTATTGAGGATGTAGGTTATGTTTATTGGAGTAGAAAAAGAGATGACTCTGAAGTTATTAGAGATATATTTTGGACTCATCTAGATTCAGTTAAGTTGTTGAATAATTTTCCTATTGTGTTAGTTATGGACAACACTTACAAGACAAACAAATAAAGGCAAACTGTTGATCATCCTCTTCAGTACCATCCTGTTGAAGATAACGATGAATCAATGAAGACATACGAGCCCAGCTAGGATCAGATGGTCCTGCTTCATGTCGCATCGCTGGGAAGAGGGGCCGACAAAGACAGAAGAGTCGTCATCGTTCGTTATTTATCCCAAAAGAGGGAAATGAAACGATCAGAGAAAACCTAACGAAAACGGGAAAAGACAGGTCATCGCAACCAAATCTCGGGTTCGAGAGTCAATTACGCAAGGGGAAGGTGTTAGCACCCCTCACGTCCGTCGTACTCGATGGGATCCACGCTTTGTTGTCTATCTAAAAGGGTGTTTGCTATCTAAGCTACGATTCAGGGACAAAAGAAAAGAAAAGAGACTCGATAGAGCATCGCCGCTCTATGCCTACGTATTCCCTCGTGCAATGGGAAAGTCAGAGTCAACG